GCCCGATCTGTCTTCCTAACCAGCAAAAGGGTTCAGTTAATTAAAGTCAACAGTTCTGGGGGAGGACAAATTATTTTATTTATTTACTGTTATTTTACCAGGCAAGTCCCGTTGAGATCTCAGATCTCTTTTTCTAGAGAGGCCTAAGCCTGAAGGCAACCTATTGTACATGTTTGTCATAAATTTAAAAGTTTACCACTAATATAAAACTATTTTCATATTAGGTAAAACAAAAACACACAAAGGGGTACCCCACTTGGTGGACCACATAGGGGTTTGACACGTGCTGTGGATCAAGTATTTATTTTGTTTATTTTAACAAAATGCAACTGTTGCAAATGTTTTTAATCAATACAATAAAGTTGCCCATTTCTCCACATACCAGTTTGGTATTTAATCCTTAGTTCGATGTGAACGGTCACAAATATCTGTAAACCTGACAGACTTAAAACATTTTTGTACCCTAAATATAAAGTAATATTTTAAAGGCGCCTCTTTTTTACTGCCTACATCAGAGAAAATGTTAATATAAAAGATAACTCAAATCTTGATTTTCATAAAACTTTAATTCAATTGTTTCATTCAAGACCATTAACAAAAGTACATGAGAACCTCCGTACGCGGTTCAACTGAAGCTCGTTTGATCAAAGAAATTACGGTAGTTACTGTAACTTAGTTTCTGAGGCACGACAGCTCGCCCATCTCATCTCCAGAGGGGAAGAAAAAAAAAAGACTGACATCCTGATTCACAACGCTGATTTATAAACTAAAAGTCTCAGAAAGTTTTCGTCCTTTTCCTTATTTTCTTTTATTTATTTTATTACATGAAGTATGATGTTCCACCCAGAAAGAAAAAATTAAAATTAAAAAAAGAGCAAACATTACATATAGTATAGTTCAACCCACAGGTTCGAGATGCATATCTGTATTATTTCTACAAGGAGGGAAAAAAAAACAAAAAGCCACCCTAAGATTGTTTTCAATAATTTTATGGTTGGCTGAAAACAGTATATATCATTTTTTTGTTTATTTTTTTCTTTTTTTTTTGCTTTTATTTAATTTTGTTTGTAGTTTTTTTAGGCACCTTATTCTTACTTATTTAATATTAGCAGATCAAGTTTTCATAGAAAAAAAAAGCAAACGTGTGTGCAAGGAAAAAAATAAACGCAAAAGAAAAACAATTTTTCAGAGATAAGATGCCACAAGGAATTCTGCACCTGGGGGTGAAAAAAAAAAAAAAAGGGTGGAGCATGTGAATACCAAAAAGGTACCTCAAGGCTCTATACTGGTAAAGGTAAATCCTGTCAGAGAAAACTACGTCCACAAACGTCTCACGCACGCCATGCTTTCTCATCAGCGTTTCAGTAAAGCGTTTTTAAAACTGCTCAAAAAACCGAGCAGAGAAAATAATTCCCCAAAAAGCTCGCACATGTGAGAAATATGACGATCCTCCTTATGGAGGGAACGTCGCTTTACGCGTTTTGGAGGAAAAGCATACAGCAGAGGAAACTTTGATAACAAAATGATGACGCTGGGGGCATCAGGAGAAACGAGAGAAAAAAAAAAAAGACATGCCAGCAATCAACGCTCATTTACTCACGCTAAACGAACAGTTTACAGGTGCAGAATTCCAGACGAAGCGGATCGGGACGCGAACAGCCAAGCAGACGTAGAGGGGCTCCTTAGAAAATAAACACCTCCGATACACACTAATCACTTCTAGGACACGTCACGCACTCACACTCCCATGTTTACTGCAGAATGAAACCATCAAGAACATACATGGAAGGCAGGGAACTGTGGAATACAAAATAATAAAAAAGAAGGAAAAAAAAAAAAGAAGTAGTTCCCTTACTGATAACAATGAGCAGAAATTACACATGCCAATTACTTGCATGCGTACGTATGTTTTGTATATGAGTTGATTCACAAGCGTGTTTCAGATCGGAGTTCCCTTATCGATGGCGTCTAGCGGGGCAGGTTCTGTATTGCTCAGTCGATAACACCTGGCTGACGGGTCTTGCGTTCCACACTGAAGCCCTGCACAAAAAAAAAAAAAAAAAAAAAAAAAAAAAAAAAAAACTAATTTTAATATCATTTGATCCAAGTTTCCAAGAAAAAAATAAATTACCCCCAACTGTTTAAACAGCATAAAAACTCCAACCCTCAAATATAATGATACCCCTACTTTCACACACACTTCAGGATCTTTCAGCCCTCAAGTGGGGAGAAAGGAGACGAGATAGAACTCTATGCCAACYGTCGCTGATGTCCTCAGTCACGGATTGATGGAGAGCATTTATAAGTCTCCCCGCCTCAGCGACGGGTGGGGGTGGGGGGTTAAAATAAAGCAAGAACAAAAAAAAAAAAGGCAGCGCAAGCTTGTGTGTCGCTGAAAACAGACGGAGCAGGCACACAATTGACATCCACTGCTTCTTTTTATCTCTAGGGTTAGCAAAAGAAAAAAAAAATAACTGTTGTTTATACGTTTAACTGTGTGTAATGTATTCTACAGTGGGAGGGCAGAGGGAGAAAWTATAATTCATCCCTCTCGACACAAYATCCTACTCACCAAATTGTATGGACTATTTTGAGGGTTACATTTTCCATATTGTACACACAAATATGGAGTATTTTATAACAGTCTGTTGAACTATACAACTTTTATTTATTTATTTAATTTATTTTTACAGGTCATTTCATTTAGTGGATGTTACATGATGGTGATAACTGAACATACTGACATGAAAAAGTAAGCCGATGCTGCAGGGATACGCGCTCTGTGCGACATAACGAGTGGCAGGATTAAACAAATAGATTTATTGTCAAAGGTAATTTGCAGGTGGACAATAATAAAAGTACAGAAAACTGTGGCAGCGTTAGAGCCGAGCGTACCTTTGAGTTGTCGGGACCACGGGGCTGTCTGACGATGACCAGGCGAGGAGCACTGGAGTCGTCCAGAGTGATGCTCTTCAGTCGGTTCACCAGGCGGTCAGGACGCGGTGTTGCCACTGGTTTAGGACCCTCGCTGTTACATTAAGAACACCGGGATTCATGAGACAGCACAATAAAATACTAATTTGCTCAGTTATATAACGTGAGCTTTAGGCTGCGACGTCCTGGTCCATACCTGACTCTGCGCACGTTACAAGCACTACATTTTCCCGTGCGTTGATTAAAGACGACGGAGAACTCCACTTCGTCTCCCGTCTGGAGCTCTATGCCATCCTGCACTTCTTTTACGTGGAAGAACAGCTTTTTGCTCTCACCCACTTCGTATGTAATGAAACCAAACTGGGAGAAAATTTAAAAAAAAGAGAGAAGTTCAGGATTTCTTTCTTCTTTTTGTTTTAAAGTTCATCACAAAGCAGGAAAGTGAAACGAGCCTTACCTGATCTTTAACGCACTCCACCGGGGCTCTGCGCTGAGGGATGACGTTGCAGGCCATCTTCTGAGCAGTTTGGGTGACGGTGCAAACCTGGAACTTTACATGCTCTCCTTTCTGAAGACAATCTGCCTTGTTGGTCATCCCCATGATTCCAAAGGGATAAGTGGGCCCTTTTGCTCCACCTAGGAGGGGAAGAAAACAAATTAAAATAAAAAACACAATTTAATTTTCCCTTGTATTAAAGCGGTGCATGTAACATTCTGAGTTGCCACCAACCTTCCTCGATGACTTCAATAAGCCCTTGGTATTCTGTCTGTGAGGGGTCCACGCTGCGTATGGGACGAATGACTTTCCCTGCCATCACTGTTGTACCAACATCCTCACCAGCACCGTTCACTGCAACAGAAAAATTTATGATTTCACCCGTAGAGCTTTAACTTTAACTWAAAAAAAAAARGACACAAACCTCTCRTATCCGCSGCCATCTTGGTAACCTTTTCTGCACTGACTTTGTTTCCTTTTCCTTTAGAAAGAGTGTACTCCACCGTGTCRCCCAGGTCCAAGTTATCCACGTCTCCACACATTTCACTGACAAAAAGAAAAGGTTTGTCAATCAATACAGAGACAACTACACCGCCCCCCACAAACCATCTCAGAAATAAACCCTTACCTGTAATGAAAGAAGACTTCTTGGTCATGATTTGCCGTTTCGATGAAGCCAAAGTTGTCTTTGAGGGCAGCGACAAACCCGTGCACCCTCTTAGAGTTGGAGTTTGGGGTGCGGTTGAGGATCCTGATGCCCACTGCGCTCTGCTGGCCAGTTCGCTTCACTTCATTAATTGAGAACTCCACCTAGAGGACAAACATTTTTAAAGTCCCACAGGCACAAACACTACACTTCTAAAGGCCAAATTATGCAGCAGATTGGAAGGGTTACAATACAATAATCCCTCATAGTGGGAAGCTATTTAGTCTTTTTATGTAATTTCAAAGAAAACACATTTTTCAGTTTATACCTTGTCTCCAACCTGAGGGTACGATCCTCCTTCCAGATCCTTGGCATGATAAGGTATAGTGAGCTTCTCTCCACAGTCTTCATATGCAAGCACTCCTTCCTCAGTTTCCTAAAGAAAGGGTGACAGATCAGCACACGTTAGCTTGGATTTATTAATATCAGCAGCACTGGATGGCCTAAGATAAAATTTACAATCTCCCCAAACAAAAAGCACTAAACTAATTGAAGTGATTAGAGTACGTGGAGCATTAGRCTGTGGTCCATAAAACCAAGAGCAGAACAAGTGGGAACAATTAGCTGATTAGTAATAAACTGATTAAGCATCAGCTTTCAGTTAGAACCTACAACAACCATTTTGAGAAATGATTTTCTGAAAAAGACTCAAGAGGAACAGTTAAAATCCCTCATTTTAAATATTGATGCAAGAATCTGCACACAGTAAAATGAAAAAGTTATTTATATTGTTCAGATCAACAGAATCGGTGATGTAATTAAGTGTTAAATGGTGATCAAACACCATGCCGTCAACTTGATACAATCACAGATATGAAAGAGGCAAGAACCAACCTTTTCTACAACTTTTCCCTTAAAATATAAAAACACAACCCATTAGACAGCCAAGCTTCTATGTTAGCTGTAAATGCAGAAATCCAATAATAGATTTGCTGGATTTTCAGCAGAAATACAGAAAAACGTTTCTTACAGATGCACTAATATTTAAAAATATTCAACTAAAGAAATAAGCAGCTTCTTTTAAAGAGACGTTTCTCACGTAGCTTCATGCAGTTCTCAGTCCTACCTTGTCTTTTTTCTAACCAAAGAAAAGCACGAGGAGTATGTGGCCATCGTAGAAGAAAACAAAAACCCAACATTAGAACTAAAGCAGAAACAGGTAAAGAGGGGTAGATGAGGAGGGTGGAGATTAAAACGGAGGCGTTTCTCACATTTGCGCAGGCTTGTACCTTCTCCTTGCCCTTCATCGGACTCGCATTCTTGTTTGAGGCTCCGACGAGCTCCTTCTCCACCACGCCGACGAAGCGCTGCTCGGACTGGGTGTGGAAGGACACGGTTCCTTTAGGGAGTTTCTTGATGCGCACGGCGTGGTTTCTCTGAGCCGACAGCATGTCCTGGAAGTTAAACACCGGCTTTAGTTTCTCGCCAAACCGACAATCAAAATGTGTTCACTTAAGCAATAGCAGATAATACATACTTTTGTGAAAAGCTTAACAGAACCTACAGGCACAACAGTGAACTCCACTTCATCTGAGATATGAAGCTGACTCTCCTCCAGGACCTCGCTGAAGTGGAAGAACATCCGTGCGTCCCGGTCCACGCACTTTATGAACCCAAAGCCGTCGCGTATAGCCGCAATCACGCCCTGATGCAGACAGACGACCGGTTAAACAAACATTCACCTGACTGGACGTGAGCATCCCGCCTTCCCAGGTGTACAATGTCGTAACGCGGAACAGGATGTCTAACCATTTCACGGGTCTCCTTGGTGAAGTTGAAAGTGTCCGGGAGGATCTCGATGTTGGTGGCCCTCTCCAGTTTATCTCTGCGATCTGTGGAGATGTTGTATTGGATGTGGTCTCCCTCCAACAGAGTCACTTTAGATTTCGTGTCCTTCTCTCCGAAAGGCAGCTCCTTATCCGTGAAACCGATCTTCGCACTGATCCGACCGGGCAGAGGGTCGTTCTGTGGAAACAGACAGGATTAGCAAATGCTGAAACGCAGCTCCTCGTCAGGCAGTTTGGTAAATCTACTTGCCTGGTTTTTTGTGGGAACTTTGGGAATAACGTTGACCACGGTGCCTTCAAATTGCTCGATGCTGATGTCCTCAAAGATGACCGTTCCCTGGGGGAGCAGCCTCACATCGGTAGCCACTTCCTTGCCCTAAAGAGTGACAGAGGCATAAACAATCAAGCTTTTTTTAAACATATTGAGATAGGCAGTGTTGTGTAAAGTACCACAAAGTGATACTTGAGTAAAAGTACAAGTATCTTACCAAAAAATAACTTTGGTAAAAGTTTAAAGTCTCCTTTAGGAATAGTGCTTGAGTAAAAATCTTAAAGTAGCTGATGTTTTTTTGTACTTAAAAATTAAGAGTAAAAGTACTGATTTAAAATGAGCAGTTAGATTTTCTGTAAGGACATTTATTAGGTGACCCTCCCAAAAAAATGCAGAAATGACTTTATTGTATTAAAATAGTTCATTTGTTAAATTTAAGATGTACTAGTGATAGAGCTAATTTTAATAGACATGTTTTATCATTCAAATAATCAATTTGTTCTGTTCTTATCACAGTTACACTGAACTTTGCTKTTACTTGCTGTGACCTCTCTCCCAACTGTGAATGGAACATGTTTTGCAAAATATAGGAAGAAGAATTAGGACATGTCGACCTGACTCCACTCTTTTGGTAATCGCCTAAGCAGAGAACGACTAGCTGGTTCCTGAAGGAAGCGGAAGGGAGGATGGCACAACCAAGCAATGATTCATGATTTTTTTACATTATTGTTTGATACGTGACTTACATTTCCCCTCCTCCCTTAGGCAAGTCTCGTGTCCTTGTAACTAGGGGTGTGAAAACCTAATAAAAGGTTGAACTGCAGGAAGTCCTCAGGGCGTCGAGCTGGGGGTACTGAGTAGTACTGAGTAGGGGTCAACTGATACATTGGCCAGCCGATATTTTTGGCTGATATTTGTGTTTTTTCCTTGTATCAGTCGATACGCTCCGTTCGGCCGATCCGTTCTTTGGGTCACACGAGCGCATGTGTCCGCCCCTTCCCCCGGGGAGAGCGCAGCAGCTAATGTTGTGAGACAGAGTGCTAACAACAACAAGGGTGAGTTATGAACGATAAATGTGTTTTAACTGTCTAATTTAGCTGTTTCTACCCCCTGTGTCGGAATATGAGGGAAGAGAGAACAGCTGTGTTTAAGTTTCTTTTCCAGACGGGAGCGCTGCGACATGTTTTACTTTCACTTTCGCACCACACTGTAATCAGCGTGTCCGTGTTGTTTTTCTTTTCAAAAATGCTGGAGCTGCTCACATGAGGCATAGAAAAACACCTCTATTGTTCTCCCTGCTGGATTAAAATAAAAAAAAGCTTTCGGTCTTTTCTCGCTGAACGTTTTAGCGAGCGCAGCCGTCCACCATCATGTGAACCAGACGCTGCTCACATCACGTTCTGTGACCGCAGTCGTGATGCTGGTTCTCTTCGGTGTACATTTCAAACTGTGATCTAAAGTTAACGTCAACCGTTTTAAATGCATTTTTTGCCTGGTATTAAAAACGGGAGCAGCAGAATGAGGCAGAGATGCTGTGAGCGCTGTGTGTGAAGTCCTCATAAAGATAGCAAGATGTATGTGTGTCTCTTCTTTTTCTCTGTGTTGCTCTGACAGTTTTAGCCTTGTTGCTGTTTTTGTATCAAAAATGCTGGGATTTAAAACTTTCATTTTATTTTATGTAAAAAATATATTAATCTGATTAATATACAAATAAAAACAGAATATTTAGCACTAGATAAAATAATGAATTTATTTATTTTTAATTTTTTTTAAAGAAGAAATCCTGTGTGATAGCACTCAATACAGCCTGCATCAGACAAGCCTTAGTTAATAAATGTTTATTTTTATTAAGACTTGTGCAACATTTGTTATTCTTATTTTTATCATGTTAATGGAGGAAGAAAAAGTAGTATCGGCTTCATTAATCGGTCAAATAATATCGGCTGCACGTATCGGTGTATCGGTTAGACTGATGTTTAAAAAATCGGTATCGGCCTTCAAAAACCTGTATCGGTCGATCTTTAGTACTGAGAAGACTTCCTGCTCCACGTTCTCCTCACTCTTGTTGAAGCTGAATTTAACTGTCTCTCTTCCTTGTTTGAATTTGTAAATGTCTTAGGTGAATTTTTTTACCTGACAACTAGTCTTGCCGTTTCAGTTTATATACATATATCAAGGCTGCACAATTATTTTCCCCAAAATGAAAATCTGAGGGCTGCGGCCAAATACAATAATATAATTCATGAAATACAAATACTTCTTAAGTACAGTCCTTTTATTTTAATGATTATGTCCTGCTGGAGTGTGACAGGATTTGTTTGTGTACAAACTAATACGATATCGGAGTTTTTTATATTTATACTTCTCATTCAACCACAATTAAATTCACTCTATCTAGGAGGCACAAATATGGATAGTACTTATTTTTTACAGTAATATGCTGGAATGAAAACAAGCAGACTTTCTACTTCTTGCCTTTTTAAAAATGTAAGAAGTAGAAGTAAAAAGTAGGCTGAAAAAAGGTACTCAAGTACAGATACCCCAAAATTCTACTTAAGTACAGTAAAGAAGTATTTGTACTTTGTTACTTTACAACTCTGGAGATACCAGCTGAGTCAGAAAGTTTGACATTTACATTTCTGTCTTTGATGGTGAACTCAACATCGTCTCCAGCCTGAAGAGCCTCCAGATCACCCTTGAACTCGCTGTAGTGAAAAAAGATCTCCTTCACCACGTCTGCCCTCTCAATAAAACCAAAGGCTTCCTGAAACAGAACAACAACAAKCTGGAGACACGGCTCCTTTCTCTACAAGCATAACCATCACAAACATTTTACGATGTTCGCGYAAACATCAGTGACCCCACCTTCGTAGCACACACCACACCCTGGCACCTCGCCTGCTTCTTCTTCACCAGCTGAATGTTGCGGGCGCTCACCGCACCGGTACTGGAATACGAGCAAGAAATGATTACGCAATCAAGCACGAGCTGGCATGACCTCCGACGCCGTCGCGCTGAGACTTACTGCTTGTTGGTGTCCATGTAAAAGCTGACTTTGTCACCCGTCTCCAGATGASCACTACCCTCCACGTCATCAGGAGTGTATGTGAGATAAAACACTTCCTGCAGAAAGCAAAAACAAAGCAAGCTTCATGACTGAAGTGAAACCAAAGAAACTGACATTTAGGATGATACATTTATRTAATGGAAGCATAATATGAAAGCARCAGTTTACCCCATTTCTTTCATAACAAACACTGCCAGTGGGCACCTGACCCGGAGCGGACTTCCCATCTAGATGCATTGGGATTGATGAAACGACCTGCAGTAAAGGCAGAACGTTTTAGGTACAGGCCACTGATAATAGAGCTGAACATATAATGGATGAAATTACAATTTTTAGATGATACAGAAAGTCATGAAGTGATAGGCATGCACACGATTGTGCTTCAACTCCTAGAACACTAACAGGTGTTGTATTTGTTAAGAATGTATGCTACTTTAAAGACTCACACAGCCCAACATCTTACATTTTSAATTGTGTATTCACATTATAAACATCATAATTTGCATTTTATGATTTGTACATCAATACAACACAACACAACTCTGGTATTGATCACTCTACTGAAGTGACGACTGATCAATCAGCACTGAATGGGATCAAAGCTGTACATATGATTATACGGACGCATGATATATCTGCATTAATATCGGTATCGGTCTGATAGTTAAAACTGGGCCCATATTAACRTCCAATATTGATTTCCCACTTTTTATCTWTGTGTTTCTGTTTTGGGAGGGGAGATGGTTGGTTGAGCTGCATCTGTTTGATCAGGATATTGATATTGATGCTGCACAGCCAGGAATCACTGAAGTAGAGCCATGTCAGAGGTCTGCTTGTTTATTTACAGTATCAAAAAAAGACCCAAGTGTGTTTGTGCGTTTATGTATAATATAATTTGTGTGTTTATGCAATATTGGTAAATATCAGTTATCGGCCATAGCAGCAATAATTATATCGGATACTGATATCGGCTGAAATTTTCACATCAGTGCATCCCTATATGATTAGTTTCCGTCTGAGAAATTTAACAAAAACACACTGATCACTTGACTAAATCTGTTCAATCAATAAAGTCCAACAAACACAAACGCCAATGATGTAAAGCCARCACAAATTTCATGCAAAAAGTCATGCAGGATTGGAGGGGAAACAATTTTCGGGGGGAGCGTAATTTGAGTAAAGTTGACAGACACATAACCAAAAATAAAATGGTGTTCCTTAACTGGATGAATATAACCATGCAGCACAGTAAAGGGATAGACGTGCAGGTCTGGCCCCACCTGGCCCGAGATGCGCTCCTCTGGCAGCACTTCTGGCTTTATCTTAAGCAGCTTCACTGCTATGGGCTTGCCAGTGCGCCTGTCAGAGGATACCTCAAACTCTACATCATCTGATGGGAAGAGAGAGGGAAAAAAATACAATGTTAGGAAAGCAAGTCAGACGTGATGAGCAGCTTTAGCCTTAATGAAGAAATTGTGTGTTTAAAAAGCTTAATTTCCACACAGAGTCTCATACCTCCGATTTTAAGTTCTTGAAGGTTTCCGTTGTACTGGGAGCAATGGAAGAAGAGACGAGCCTGACGTTCGGAGCACTGGATGAACCCGTATGAAGCCAAAAGCTTCTCCACCACCCCAGTCTCTCTAATGCCGGGCCCCGAGCCGTTTGCAAATGCGGTGTGGCCATTGTTATGGAGCATGCCTGGGTCGAAACTCATCTGGAAAAAAAAAGAAAGTTTTAAAGATGCATCCAACAGATACGAATCAAAATAAAATAAAAATCGGGCAGGGAATACAGTTCAATGCATTATAAAGCCAAATAAAACAAAAAACAAACATGCAGTTGCTGCAAATTTCAGAGGATGTGGTAAAAAATTTTAAAAAGGCACATTAGTCTTTTGGGGGTAATCTTGTCATAGTCAGTTACCGTAAATTCAAACCCATGATTAGATAATACCAACCGAAACGTGGAGCTTTATGTTTAAATCATGCAAGTAAAACCCAAAATATACTCAAACTTTGGTTATACAAACATTAAAAGTTAATCTTCCGATAACTACCGACAACCAAATGATTAAAACTAGAATTCATAATTCAGTACACATTTTACCTCCAGACTAAATGACCATGCTGTTAGCAAAAGTCACACAACACAGAGCTTCCAGAAACGCACTCAGTTTGGACACGACTAGATATTTCATCTTACTGATCTCTGATACAATGGGCTCCGCTTGTATTTTTTACTTCCTGGATGAGGGTGGCAAGAGACAGAGGAGGAACGGGGTATGGGAACGGGGCCGGTAGAGGTATTTGGGGCTGAGCCAGTGCTGCGATCAACTGGGGGTTCAGACGAGCCCCTTTCCATTTTTGACATGGCTGGGACAGGCTGGTGAAAAAGGCAACAGCTTTAAAATTGAACATTTCAGTCTATTTTGCACCCTTTAAATGAATATATAACCAGATATTTCTGTGGCATATTTGCAAAACAATGTCCAACTAACATCATTTTCTACTTTGTTTATCAATTCTATACTATTCAAGCTGGAATAATTCTGTTAGTTTTTCAATGCCGTTTATTTTTGTCACAAATGCTAAAAATCAAACCGTACTGCTTTTACTTGTGAAATAAAAAGTCTGAAATCCAAACGGTCACACTGAGAAATTGACTCAGTTGTAATTCTGCAATAAAAGTATGATAGCACAACAAAATCTGTACATTCAAAAAAAAAAAACCTCTACAGAGAAAGCAAAGAGGAACTGAAGTCAGCTTCTTGGCACAGCCATTTGGGATGGAGTGGTTTAGGTGCAGACAGTGTTGCTAATGTTACGCAAATAAAATACAACTACTAAAGATGAAGCATCGGAAACAAACAAAAAATAAATAATGCAAAAAAAATGTTCAAACAGAGGTGCATCTACAAGTGGACAGAGAGCTGGAGATGGATTATGAGGTATGAAGTGGGGGGATCCCAGAGCAGCCTCTCCTGTTAGATCCTGTTTTGGACCATCGCCAAAAAAAAGCAACTCTTCACAAAAGAACTCAACGAATGAAGACGGGAAGCTTTGTTAAAGTTTTGCTTGGATTCTAGTGTGGCAAATAATTTAAAAGAGGCAATAAAAATATACTTTTCTGCTGACAAGTGACTATTTTAGATAACTTTATTATTTAACCAGTCGATGCAAGGCTACGTTCACACTGCAGGCAAAATGACCCCAATTTCTTTCTTTTAGATTTTTAAAACCAGTTTGAAATGTCAAATTTGACACAGGTCTTTTTCATGTGGTGCTAAATCTGATATATTTCCAAAGTCTGAACAGAAATGTTGCATTTCATCAATCCAAATATCAACATTATACTGTTTTAAAGCTTGTAATACTGTATGTTTTAGCCACAGAACAGAAGTCCAGTTGGTCAATCTTCTTTATAAAACTTGGTAAATTTGTCATGTCCTGGATGACAGAGAAATTACACCAATAGTGATGTATAAACATGTTGGATGGTTGCATGATGGTACCAATACTTGAGTTTGTTTCTACTAGGGCTGGGCAATATGCACCCCCCCCCCCCCCCCCAAAAAAAAAAAAAACAAAACAAACAAACAGATTTTTTCATCCCAAATTTGATTTTAATCGATTTTGTTTCCCACTTAAGTGCCTCTGTTTCAGGTGTTGAAACAGATTTGTTGTACTCCTGCTTTTTGTAGCAAAAGCCTTCAAACAGATTTTGCAGTGAGGTGTTTGTTGCTTCAAGTCCGAGGTTGCAAAACCTAACCAGTTCCAGAAAACTGAAGACAGTGCCTTTTTTGGCAAGATCCTCTTTGCTAGCTGCCATATTGTCATGTTGTGTACAAAGTGCCTTGAGGGACAGGTGAGCTCTGAACTACAGAAGCCACAAAGAGCGCACTGGTCGGGGAAAAAAAATCCAGATTTCCCCAAAGTTAAATCGTTATAAATGGCAAATTYGAATTAATTGATTAAATCGATTTAATCGCCCAACCCTAGTTTCTACTCTTCAGTCGCTACCATTCCAGAAGAGCAATTCTGCACCTGGGTAGGCAAGAAGCTGCAAGAAGAAATGTAATCATGTTGATGTGAACGAGCAGGCAAATAAATTAGATCTGGTATTGAGCATAAAGACTTGCAGTGCGAACGTAACCTACAAGTTTGGCTTGTATTTCTGCTGTCATATAAGCAAAATAAAATGCCCTTCCAACATTATTTGGCGCTTTTAACCGTGACTAAGGACAGACAAAATCTGGAGATAAGAAAAATAAAAAGATCTCCAGGAAAATGGCCAAATTCCTAGTAAGCTCGTCACCAAACACCCCTCACCCTGCAACAACTTAACTGAGTAGAGGCTAGTCTCGGGAGCCCGTAAAAGGATGAAAAGAGATTAGGCCATTCATAGCAAAGATGCAGGGCAAGGTGGGTGGATTGGGTGCTCGATGGGGTGGGACAAAAAATAAAAAAAATTTAAAAAGGCGAGGAGGAGTAAACTTACAGATCGGCCATATGGCGACAGGCTGAGTCCGACAGGGGAGGTACTGCTCAGGTCAGCACTAACAAACGCGGTAGGTGGCGACGCAGGCAAGGTAAACTCAACAAAGCCTTTCCAGGGACTGCCCATATTTTCCCATAAACTCGAGCCAAACTTGATAACTTGTCTGAATTTTCCCTTGACTTCTAAGACAAACTTATGTAACCACCCAATGATACACCGGTGGACGTCTGCAAGGGTGAAGAGAGGAACAAACATAATGGGTAATGAAGATAGGACAGCCAGTGTGCCAAGTGTCATAAAAAGGATAAAAAAAAATAGTGGCCTTCAATTTGAAGGAAGGTTGGAAAAACAAAAGAAATTAGAAGAAATTACTCAAACGACAGAACAGGACGAGGGTTAAGTTGGGTGTGGGGAAGCAATCCAATCATTGAATGAAACTGAACCACCAGATAAAGTATATGAAGAGGGCGGTGACGGATCTGTTCAACTCACTTAAGTGTTGTTCGACTCAGTTTGACAATGAATAATAAAAGTACAAAGAGCAGTTCAATGTCCCCCTCTGCTGGGAAGGAATACTTATCTGTGTAAAATCAGCTAAAAACATTGACTTTCAAAAACTAGTAAAAAGACCATAAAAACAAAACCAGTTTCAAAAGAAAGGCACAAAACTGAACATATTTAATAAAGTTAGATGCTTAACTCAAGATAAACTTACTATTTGTGACCTGTGCTGGGCAAAAAAGTTGTTTTTAAATCTCAAAATCTACAAAATGATGCATAGTTCGTTGAAATTTTGCTATTTATCATGTGGCCTGGCAACAAAAAAGTTTTGTTTAACAAAGTGCCAGTTTGAAAGCTCACTTTTTGTTGGTCTGAAATGCTTTATGATGATGCTAACGTTATATGGAAAGGATTTATTTAAAGCTACAGAAGGCGACAGAGAAACATTGTCAATTTAAGGAACAAATTTAGGTTAGAATTGCATAAGGTAAAGGTGACATCTCACTGATTTGCTACCATTTTTTCAACATTTATCAGTGTGGTTTTAATTACAGCTCTTGCCCTCTCGAGATGGATCAAATACATTGKTTTGAGATGCACACAATGACTTTGAGACCAGACTGACAGAAAATTGGTCGCCCAAATATTATGAACGTGTTGAAACTCGAGATTGCACACCTCTGTGATGCACAAGGAAGCTGGAAACCCCCCACAAAAGCCCAGAGACATTCAAGAAACTCCCTCAAATACTGTTCACCAACTACCTGAAGCTCAGTGAGATACCACTTCAAATGAAAGAGCTAAATGCTTTAAACATGGCAGATTATATGCTATGAAGGTAAAAAAAAAAAAAAGACTCACCTTAACTGGTCAACTTTATCTTTTAAATCTCTGGATCTTGATGACTTTGCAGACCTCTTCTCACACACACGTACACAAAGTTTAAACACACACACACACTAACACGTTTCCTGCACAAGTTCTAGATGGTTGCATAAAGTAGAAAAAAAAAGGAAATTGGGAGAAATCTAGCACACAAGAAGGCAATTGCAGGTGCGATAACACCGCTTAGAAAAATTACAAAGAAAACAGAGGGGAGGAGGAGAAGTAGGGGGGAAGATGGGGGTAACAACGGAAGGGATCTAGCAGATAGCAGCCCACTCTACACCCTGGTGGTGAGTCGGCAGCGTAGTAAGGATGAGGAGGGCTAGGAGCAGCGTTGGGACGTGTGCTTTGTCAAAGCTGTTGAGTAGGCACAAACTTCTGGTTTCAGATCAGTTTTCTTCTCAGAGTAAGCTTGGGGCGTGGGATTGCTTCTCTTCTCTCTTGTTTCAGTTGGGCAGATGTGCGTTGTTCTTTGGTCGTTTCAGGATTTGGTTCCACGTGATTTTTTTTTAAATCCTCGAAGTGATCCTTTTTCCACCTCCCGCTTGTCTTCGGAGTTGCAAATTTTGTGGGGAGGTTTGTCTTCAGTTCCTTTGTTGTGATCTGAACTTGAAGCAGTTGCRGATGGTACAAAAATTCAGTTCGGCTTCACTTCATACTGTTGGGAGGGAGGGAAAAGGCAGTCAGATAAATATCCATGGCTCCAACTTTAGACATACTTTTAAAAAAAAAGTGGGGGGAAATAAGTCATGGGTTGAAGTTTGCAGTGACGACTAAAACAAAAACAGAACACTGGATTCTTTATTCCAATTTTTACAAAAGGACTTGGTGAAACAAGTTCTCCACAGAAGTTTGTTGATGAGAGGAAAATGCCATGAAGCAGAAGCCATGAGCTGAAAATACAGCRGGCCCCTTTAATTCAAACAACAGTACAAAACAAGGCCATCAGTTTTTCCAATAAATTGTAAACCAACCTTTACTCTAGAGTTCAGATGAGGAAAGTTAAGAATGGGGGGGGAACAATATGGTTTTATCATATACGCATATTTGTTCAGTCAGAAACCCCACATGTAGAGTAGAGTGCTGTTGACCCAAATACCCTGCTCTGTAAACAAGTCGGCCGAGCCCTCCTGCAACACGATACGCTGCTGTGATGGTGTCGCAACGACTCAGTCCTACGAAAGGCCACAACGACAAGTCACTAGCCTCAGCTGAGTTTTGAAAACAAGGGTATTTTTTAAATGCCTTAAACTAACAAACTAAAAAAAATACACAGCCAAACCTGTGTATCATGTGCTGTACAGAAACTAAAGTGACAGCACACAAGAAAAATCATGTGCAGATGGTTCGCAAGTGTGGTAAAGGTTATGTGCTATAAACAGAGTTGTTTTCAAGTAGCCTCAAATGAGATTAAATGTTGCGTCTATCAGATAGCAACTTTCTAATCTGCACACAATTATTGTTTAACCCCGTTATTTGTTAAATAAAATATAAAAAAAAAAAAAGGACAACAATATCCCTGATTAAGACTAGGCCTGAAAAGAGGACAGTACACGTGACTTCCCCTCACCTGGAACCTGAGCCAGAATGTTTGGGTGTACAATACCCCGTGGAAATGTCAAGCTTTCAATATAAAAAGAAAAGAAAAAATGACTAAAATACCAAACACGATTCACACTTTATATTTCTTATTGAGAAACAGAAGGGAATCATTCTTATCTTTATAGCTAATTTAGGATCTACTAAGTCCCAGGTGTTAGCTACTCTTTTAAAAAAAACACCGTCACAGCGCTACATAGCTGCGGGGTGCGTTTTATTCTATTTTGGTTAATAAACAATGTCGAAGCTTCATTTTTTTTTTAAAAAAAATTAGCCAGCTTATTCGATACAATTCAATAAAAAAATAATCTGTATTCTTTCATGTGACGGTCCTTGAGTTTAGATTAACATAAAATATATTAGACAATTTAAGTGACACATAACTATACCAATGAACTCGTCAATTTATCACGTAAAACACACACAAATGTGCTTTGATCATCTCGTGTTGCGAGAAAAATGAAAGCAGAAACATCGAGGCTAGCGGCACTAGAAAACAAAGAAACTACGTGCACGGCTTTTAAGTTCCGCCTGTCTCTTTTACGCTTACAACCTGAAAACCTACAATGTAGTGTCGTGTCTTTAGTACGGTTGGTAGGTTTTAAGAACGACAGTACGACGTTGTAAACACTTAACAATGTCACTCTGTCGTTTTGTCGTGTTAGCTTGTTAGCTAGAGCACGCGCTGGTTGCCTGCCCCATGAAAAAACAAAAAGCAAAAAAACACACGCACGGTGCCCCCACCCAGGCCCAGACTTCTACGTGACACCAAACGCGAGACAACACGTTCAATTCGACAAATTCGCCGTATATTACAGGACAAACGGGTCACTAAACATCCAAAATATCTATTTTTTACAGTTTCACAAAGAAAGGAAATTAGTAAAAACTCACCCCAACAGCTTTTAGCACTGTCACCAGCGCCGCTAGAAGCAGCACGGCACATTACGTAGTGATTTGGGAGACGGCTCCCGCGATACTTGATAAAGAGAAGCGTGCGTCGGTACTAAGTTCACGCAATGACTTGTGGGAAATGTAGTAAATATGGGCCTATTTTTTGTATGTAACGTGTAATTACCCATTTTTAATTTTTGTTTTGTCATTCAGTGGCGTTTAAGGAGCAGTTATTTTCGTAATAAAGCTAAGAATAGTAAAAAAAAAAGTTGAAAGCGTTTATATTACTGAATGATTTTTTAAAGGGGTCCACACCCAATGTAATATACTGAATATTTAATCATTTGAACATAGAATACTCTCTCCGTTATCAACTTGATCATGTGTATTTATATCTCCCWTTATTCGTGAATTTATTATTTATTTTGAAGCGGAACGCAGCAGGGATGGAACAAGACCCGGTGTTGTGTCGAAAAAACGATCCTCTGCCYCAAAGAACCCCTCATTGGAGGCCCGTTTAAAGGCATCTGTAAATTGTATAATTAAAGTTACTAAAAACACAAATCCTTTATTATTTTTATTTGTTTGCTTGTTTTCTGTGGTTTTAGGTTTACTCAAATTATTTGTGGGAAAAGAGTGGTAGTACGCTTCCGGTAAGGGAGGCGCTTTAGTGTTCCTTTTTTTGGTACAACACAGGAAGTGACGCTACCCTTTCCGCTCCACAGGGACTAACGAAGTTGACAACAAAAGAAAGACTATTTTTTTCTCCATTTATGTGTTTTTCTTTTAGGTCTATCAATAAAATGTTAAAGGGGTCTTGCATCGAAATGGGTAGTGGTCCTGTAAAAAACATTTGAGCCGTTTTGGCTCGTATTAGCCYGCGAAAGCCACCATTTTAGCCTCGTATCTGAAGCTACTACTACTAGCTTACATTACTAACGCGACTTGACAGTGTTCAATAAATGGCCTGCACGTTAGAGAAAGTGTTGTGYGATGCTCGGACGCTTCTGGATAGGTTAAAGGAACACGATACGGCTGCCGAGGGTCTGATCGAGCAGTCCGGGGCTCTCAGTCATCGAGTTCAAAGCATGAAAGAGGTCGAGAACGCTCTTCCAGACAAGGTAAGCTTTCTCCTACAAGAATCATAACAAAACAATGACACAGGAGGTTGTGCTTTCAGCTGTTTGGTTCTGTAAGATAAAGAGTAAAAGATAGATGAAATATGAATGAATGAAAATATCTATTTCAAAACAGATAAAACAAACAAAAAATTATATARGAATAATATATGAAATATACCAAAGGAACACTATACCTAAAATAAAACACAGAAGAGGCTTCTGATGCGTCTTCCTTTGGTAGTTTATTAGAATAGAATCGACAGCCTTTTTTTTCCTTCAGCGGGGAAATTCAGGTATTAATCCTGCTTTTTGCTTTTTCTCAGCACACGGAAGACAGTTCAGAGATCCAAGAGCTCACAAAATACAAGCCTCACATTCTTCTGACTCAGGAAAACACTCAAATTAAGGAGTTACAGCAGGAGAATAAAGGTAAAATCTTCCAGTTTGTTTCGGTGATTCTATAACTTCTGTTTGACATCTGTAACAATGCTCCTCATGATTGTCTCTACAGAGTTATGGCTGTCTCTTGAAGAACACCAGTACGCGTTAGAGCTGATCATGGGTCGATACCGYAAGCAGATGCTCCAGCTGATGATGGCGAAAAAGGAGCTGGACACCAAGCCAGTGCTTAACCTTCATCAAGACCACGCTAAAGTAAACCAACTTTTTTTTTCTCCAAGAGTTAATAAAATTATTTTTTTTGTAAAGTCCATAAAAAATTGTTTTCTTATTCCAGGAAGTGCAAAGCCAAGTGGAGCGAATATGCGAGATGGGTCAGGTGATGAGAAAAGCCATGCACGCAGATGATCAGCATTACTGCTCTGTAAGAGAGAGGCTCGCTCAGCTGGAGGTGAGGTCGAGACCACCCAGTCTTCTGGTGCCAAGTAACCTAATAGTTACAAAATGCTCTTCCAGTTGTTTTGTATTCATACCACTTAACTTTTACAGCCACTTGTAGCCCTCTCCTCCTTTTTTGAGATGCATTGTTGCCAGTCACTAACATCTCTCCATCAGCCATGGCTCAGTGTGATACCWCCAAAAAGGGCCTGTGACATGCCTGTCCTTCAAATACAAAAATGTCAAAGAAAGCATCTTCATACTTAATAAAAATGGCAAAGTACACATGATTTTATCCATTTTGTCACATAACCGGCCTATTTTCTATTAAATTTGGCTCAGCCAAAGTGAAACAGGAACATCAAAAGGGAACTCAATGTTTATTAAAACAAAATTATTTAAACTTTAACTCTTCTTCGTCTCTCTTTGATGGCGACTAAAAATAATCTAAAGAAACATCAGAATCTATTCTACAGTGTTTTGTTAGCTTTTGTAAAAACGCTCTGTTTACATGCYGACATTCCCCTTTGACATMACTTCCTGTTTCTTCRCATGTAAATATCTCAACAACTGTTCATCTCAGCRACGTGAAATTTGTTTCGCAGCTTGTTATCAATGCGATCTTTCCAAAAATGCATTCATGTTTATTACAAAAATTTGATGTCACAGGCACTTTAAGTCATTTGGATGTTACATTTCTTCCTCCTTCAGATGGAAAACCGGGAGCTTCGAGATCTTTTGGCCATCAGCAAGGGTTCTGTGAAGAGCGGGAGCGAAGAAACCAACCAGCCGTCAACACCAGCAGCAGTGTGGGAACATTCCCCTCAGGCGGCGACTGACTGATCAGAACACCTTCAGACTGAAAGAAGTCCACAAATAAAATAGAAGACTGTTTTTGTACGTAACATTCTAGTCAACAGAAACGTTTCCCTGTCGGTCTGTTAATATGATGCGTCACTATGTGTAGTTAGTGTCACTGCAGTAAGTTTGGTGTGAATTCCACCTAAACTGTGTGTTTAAAATGGTCAGTTTCTGGTTTCACTGATATGTTTTATATTTATCTGAATGCTGGAGGAACGGTGAAGGGTATTTCATTTCTTTTGTTGGCGCAGACATACGTTTTAAGAAGACTSCTTCTGTGTCTTGGGCGTACTGTTACAGAGACATCTAGAATGAGTAAATGCTGACAACCGTTATTAAAAACATATTTTACAGTCTGCGTCACAACTAGTAAGACTTTGTGCRCGCTGGCAAGTAAGCAACGATTTGCGATTTCATGAAAAGGTTGCTGAGGAGTGCACATAAAATGATTTTTTTTTTTTCAGAAAAAGTTTTTAAATGTTGGGTCTGACATTTGTTTTTTAGCAGCCGTCTCTGTAGGTGTTACAGCCTATTTTAAACGTGCAGTTCTGCTGTTGATTAAAAAAAACGAATCTGTCCTTTTTTGGACCAATTTTAAAATTGTAATTTATAAAAAATAATTAAAAGTTAATAATTGCAGCTGCATAAAATGCACACAAAATGTTTTGAAATGTTTCAGTCTGGTTTAAAGCCTCATAAACTGCACTTTTAGGCTGTTCGTCTGCTTTTAGACCTGGAAGCTTTCCGGCTGGACCAATGTGTCAAAGGTTTARGTCCTTCCTGTCTGACAGGAGTTTCTGTGTAAGCCTATGTAAGAATCAGTTTTTTTCTCCAGACCCTCTTTCATGGGGTTCCTCAAAGATCTACGCTTGGTCCCATTTTATTTTTCCATCTGTTTGCTACCATTACGCTCCCTCTTCAATTAAAAAAWTTTTTAAAAAATTTGATTCCTATGCAGACGGCACTCAGGTCCGTCTATAGTTGAAGCATAAATCGTTCTTTTCCATTAAAACCACAGTTCAACTGCATCACTGAGGTAAAAGCATGGATGGCTTCAAACTTTCTAAATTGAGAGAGAATAAGACTGAAGTTACTAGTTTTGGTCTCAGTGGAAACTACAGCACTTTTTTCTACAGAGGAGCTAGAGCTATTTGTAATTTTAACAAAAAATAAATTTATATATACATATTTCAAATAAGAATTGGGGTGATATTTGATTCAGCTTTGGTAGTTAATTTATTATTATTATTATTATTATTATTATTATTATTATTGAGTCATCTTCAGTGAAATCATTTTTGTCCTATTTTTTGTGACAATGTGTGATTCATTTATCCTGACTGGGTCCTCAGTTGTCCAGAGAGCGTCACTCCTAAACTAGCTGTCCCTTCATAACAGACAGGCTTCAACTCTTGGACGTTTTAAGTCTCACCTTAAAATAAATTTCTATAATTCATTTTATTTTGTCTTCCATTTTTTTAATAGTCTCTTGCATTCTTTTTTTTTGTTTTGTTTTKTTTTKTTTTTTTTTTTTTACTCTTGCTTTGTGTTCATCACTTTGGTCAAATGCAGTGCTAAATAAATTTGATTCACCTCAGGAAATTAGTGTTGGTTAAATCATTGTGTAATGAATTAATGGCTCTGTACTATTTTTGTGTAAAATAAAATTAATAAAAAAAAACAAATATACATTTTTGTGAGCTTTGTCTGAAACTATTCGTGCAGGTCAACTCCTTACCGCAAGGTGGCGACATAAAGGCAGGTGACGTTTGGAAAATACGTTCATTGCTGGTTTTTAAATGAAAAAAAAATTGTCTGTTTAAAATTACTTTTTAAATATAGCCGCAATATCCGTGTAATAACTTTATACGTCATATACGATGTGATACTTCTTTATATTCTACGTTTAATTCATTCGAATTTTGTATTTCCGACAACACGTGAAAGCATCACCAGAGCAGTGTTTTGTCCCTGTTAGCTTGGAGCGCAGCTAAGTATGTCCGAGAAGGAGCTTGGGAAAAAGTGGGACCGATGTCTCGCAGACGGTGTCATTAAAATCGGTAAATATGGCTGAGTCCTCGGCTCATAACGTTGATTTATCCCGGGTTAAAGACTYAATAAGCGGGTCATTCAAGCTGTCATTGACTGAGCGAGATGCTAACTACTAGCTAGCCGCAATGGAAAAGGACAACTATGACTTGTTAGTTCAAAAATGTGTTTCTTGAGTTATAATTTTGTTGTTTTCTTGCTTGGTAGAACACGACCAAGTGTATATAAGTGTTAGTTATGTGATGAGTATCGCTAACATAAAATGCTTTTTTTTTTTTAAAATACCTTTGCCAACCAGTTACTCATCACATGCCTAAAAACACGAATAAATATGTATTGTGATTCCACTTTTGTACTCAAACTTAATCAGTTGCAGATATTCGTCTTGTGATGATTTCCTGAAAGTTTCATTAAAATCTATCCAGTGGTTCATGACTTACCCTGCTAACAGACAGTGACTCTTAACTGGTTAATGGTAGCATTTAATACAAAGATCCTGCTCAGTCTGTTCCCCCTCAGAATATATTGGGGAGCAGTCTCAGCTACTACCACACCAAATTTAAGATCAGTGATTGTCAAACTGATTGAGCTAGTAACATTTTTGTGTGTTTTTTTTTAAGTTAGTTGTGGCAGCCATCTTGAGTCAAGCTGACTCAGATTTTAAATGTACATTTAGAAATTACTTTCTGTATATTTCATTGACATTTTGGAAACACACAGATGTGTAACTTTATGTGCATCAGAGGGCAGTGCATGCTTTCAAATAATGAAATTAACATTGTAGTTTATGAAGTTCTTCATGTTTCAGGTACTGGCCTGGGATTAGGGATCGTCTTCTCAGTCCTATTCTTCAAACGTAAGTAACGTTGCTGGGAGGTTGATCGACAGATTTGCTCACATGGTCACCAAACCATGTTTTTAAATGTCATTCATAAGTTCAACATTTTCCAGCCCATGCATGTTGTTGTTGTCAAACCCTGTTTATGTTTTATTCTCACTGTTTGTAAAAGATGTAAAACGTCTGTATATTTGTAGGGCGCACATGGCCGATTACGTTAGGCTCCGGAGCCGGACTTGGCATGGCCTACGCCAACTGTCAGAACGACCTGAGGGCACATTATCTGCAGCACATAAGCCAAAAGGTTGGTTTTGGTCGCATTTTGTCTCYTTAATTTGTTTCAGCTGGAACATCTGCTTCTGGTTTGTTCAAAGTTGAATTCATGCAGACGCAGAGATTTGAGCCATCGTTACGATAAAAGCAAGAGTCCAAACACTTGATGAAAAACGATATCCTGTTCCTGATTCCAAAGAATCTGTGATGACAGATCATTATATCAAATTGTGTTATGGGAAGAACATGTCATACTTGTGGATTTAATTGTGTCGTGGCTACTGACAGTTAGGAATGTTTCATTTTTGATTACTGAGTATAACGTCATTTTATCTGCWTGTGACACGCTATAACGTTCCCTTTTTCTGTTTCTATTTGTTTTCCTCTACAGGAACAGTAACTGCAAGTCGTCGTGTCATTTTAAAGTTTTGCTTTWGCAGTGATTTTGTCTGCGGGAGCCTCATCAATCATTTGCACTGGTCTCCAGTTGGATTGGTGTCTGCCTGTTGATTCTCTGTCCTCTGTATGATTTGTATGTGCCTGATCAGGACAGTCTGTTTTTATTTAATAAAATAATTATAACAATGAAAACGACTCATGGGGTGGTAATTACATTTATCACAGTACGCTTTATAAAAAAGAATTATCTTCAGTTTGTGGTATTATTATATTTATTTACAAGCATAGTTCAAATATTGAATAAATGCTGGTAAATAAATGGTAGATGGTCTATTGAAAGGAAATCTGTATCGGAAGGTCAGAGCCATTTGAAAGAATCAGATATCAGTATGACAAAACTAAAATCAGTGCATCTATCATCTAGWACAGGGGTGTCCAAAGTGTGGCCCGGGGGGGCATTTGTGGCCCCCGACTTCAGTTCAAGAATGAATTTGTCACCCCMCTGCACAGGTGTTTCATATGGAGACTTTCTATTTATTATTAGGGTGAATTTATCACAAAGTAAAATCTTACAATAAAAAATATTGGCAACAATACCAACTAGACATGGGTTTTTACACTGTAAAAACAAGTGTGCATTGCCATGTAGCATGTCATTGCAGCATGGCTTTGCCT